AACCATCCTGCTGTGTATATAGAACCTCAATCTTGATTTTTTTTTTTGTAATATGTGGTAATGTAGGGCTTGTAAATGGCATGTTTATGTTGAAGTACATGTATCTGTTCAGGTTAGTTCTATTGTTTGACCACTTGTGGACATAATGTGCACATATAATGTGTGCAGCTATTTAAAATATTTGTGTGTGTTTTCCAAATAAGAGTGACTTTTGGTCAGTTTTCCTAGTTTTCACAGCCCTTGTTGTCAGGTAGATAAATAATTGATTTGAGTTGGGGAATGTTAATCAAATTAGATATGTTCATTAAATGCTTCATTAAATGAAGTGTTAACTTTCAAGGGCAGCCCTGTTGCATATGTATAACTGTGCATAGCCTTTAGATGGATCTGCCCTTTCTGACTGTGGAAGCGGGCATAGCATAAACTGTGGTTGCATTTATCAGCCAATCTGTGGCGCTAAGGATATGTCTCGCTGTGCTGTAACTACTCTGCACTGTTTCTATGACCTCCCAGCCAAGAAAGCGTAGGTAAGACAAATGACTTGCCCACGCAGCACAAGAGTTCAGAACCTGCAGTATGCACAGCCATTTCAGTTCGCAGCAGAAACCAATGTGTCAAAGCCTTTTAATCATGCCCGTGTCCAAAGCACAGCCATGGCCACAGCCACAATCACAGTGACAACTCTGTCTTCCCGTGACCACAGTCTGACTCGTACAGCCTGAGCAGCAGTTTTTAGGCTCCTCTAGTTAATTGCAGAGGTAGAAAATTATGCTATAGCTAAAAAGCTGGCTGTAGTCTGTAACGTAATATTCTATAACATCAGTGTAAATCTCAGCTGTCGATGTGTTCGATCATCTGATCTATTAATCAGATGGATTGTAAAAGGTGTTGCATTGTATCTCAAAGGTATTGTGACCTAAAGCAAAGCCTACTGGGACTCCTTACAGCAAATCCTTTGCAGTTAATGACTGTCTGAAGTCTTGAGTCAGAGCATCTTACCAAATGATGTTTCTTCCTGTGGAATGCATTGCCCTGCCTTCACTGCATCTAGCACCAGTACCTGCTTGTTTGTGGGTCTTGTTTGTGCCTTCCGTTTTATTTCTTTCAGTAAGGGAAAGGTGGGCTTAGTTGGTTTGAAGTTAGATGATTGGCTTGTCCATTTAAGAGCATTCCACTCCTTTGCCTTAATAAGCTCTTGGGTTGCTTCCATGGTTTTAGGTCATTATCCAACTGCACCACCAATCGCCTTCCAATCAGTTTTGTGTGGGGGATAATTTAAGAGGAAGAGAACATCAACTTGCAGTTGACTCCAAATCCCTACATGCTTAGGTTTGGTAAAGTGGAACAGTTCAGGTAGTGTAGTTAAAATTTTGATCAATTTGCGCTCTTTCTGTACTGTTAATTTAAAAGGCAATGGGAATATGAATATAGTGGCCCATGTCCAGTACTTAGTATATAGAACTATATAGTTTAATCAGTGACATGCCCATCTCTTGAGACTGGATCCTTTGGTTGTTTTTTTTGTTTGTTTGTTTTTTAATTGACTTGTGTATATATATTTTTCTTAATCTACCATCCTTGTATTTGCACCGAAAGCCAAGAGCTGTAATCACAGCTCATCTAACAAGGTGGCACTGTTGCTTAGCTACTGGGCTATTCACTACCCTGAAAGGGTGATGAGAAGGCAGGGCTTCTTCCCCCTCCTACCACGAGACAACTGTGAATGCAGCAGGGCAAGTAGTCGTGGTGGATGCAATCTATTGGCTTCTCAGTGCTGCCGCTAAAGTCACAACCCCGACTGTAGCCCGCACTGCCTTTACCAGTGTATTTCTGTAGCTGCTGGTGCCGCTGCTGCTCTCCCTCCCCCTTAAATGGTGTGGGCAGAGTGGGATGGAAGACTGCACTGGAAACCTTTTCATGGAAATGGTCTTTGCTGTTGGTATTGCTGTAGCACCATTCTGGTGACAACAACATGCCGTTGAAATGGAAAAGCGGTTCTCCTGTCAGCTGGAAATTCCCAGTGCCAGTTCTTAAGACATCCAGGTCCTCACCCCTTTCGCCTGCTTACATGTGAGTAAGAGCTGAATAGCATTCAAGATATACAATTGCAGCAGCGCATATGGAGATGCAGTTATTTGCTTCTCAGTTTGTAATATTTTATTTTATGTTATTTTTTTTAAATGAGTGTGACACCGTTGTTTTTGTTGCAGCCCTAATTATGCGATTAAGCCTTGTAGTGTGTCAAGAGATTTCCCTTGTCCAAGATGAATTTTATGGTTTGCTGGGAGAGTGCCTTGCTCTCGGGCAAAAGGACTCATTTTGCTGCTTGTCTGGACACAGCATGCTCCACATCCCCGACTCTTGCCCTCTCCCTGTGGCTGTGTTTATTTGGGAACCGGGGACTCAGCTGCTTGGGAGGAGCCTGCCTTTGTCAGGATGTCTGGCGTGCCCTGGTTTAGAAGCTATTGTCATCTGCTACTGTTCAGGAAGGAGGAAGGGGGAAGGGTAGATCTGGAGTGGTTCACACAGTCCCTGCCATCATCTCTCTTTACATTTTTTTTTTCTACCTGTAAGTGTCTTGTTTGACTTTCTGAACGGTAACGGGGTTGGTTTACAGATGGTAAGAACAATTTTGGAAGTGACAGTTTTCAAGACAACCTTGGCTAACTGAAAAGCCTAAAGGGAATTTCAGAGGCTAACTGGGCTTACTTAGAGGGATTTCTGCAAAATTGGATTCATGCAGTTCCCAGTAATCATGTATCTTTATAAGCTTAGGAGATTATTTTTGATGGTTTTACTCAAATATTTATTTTTGTATTAGTGCAGCACAGTAAGAGAAAGCCATGCTTTTACTTCTCTTATGTCAGGCTCCCCTTTAAATATCCTCAGTAGAACTGTTCATACTCAAAACACAGCTATGAACAAGCAAATGTACGAAATACATTTTTATTGTGTAGCATAAACCTAAACTGGATAGTATGTCCTGAATCCTGGAGAGGACTAAATTGTGAGATCTTGTATGTATAAAAGTTCACTAATGACACTATTGACTTGTTAATTATAGATTTAATCTAGATTTCATCAGGCTAGTTTAGGTTAAGCATCCTGCCCGGCAGTCACAGTTATTGGCAATTGAGCATCTCCAGCAGAGCAGTTGGGTGTTAAAGGCCTTGTTCAAGGGCATCTCAGTGATGGTAGCAACCGAGAGGAAAAGGCGCTTCCTCATTTCCTGACAGCCTGTAGCTCAAACTACTGACCTTCTTGTTAATTTAATTTCTTTGAAACGGCGACACAGACCCCATAAAAGCAGTTGTCGTAAATTGGCTGTAAATGGTTAATTGTAAATAAGAAGTTAAAGTTAATTAAGTGGAAAAAGTTATTAACAGAGAAAAGTGAATGAGCATTTTAAAAAAAAAAAAAAAAAATTCAGTCTGTAGATATGCTGAATTTGTGCGTCACTGTTGGAAAAAGGAAAACCTGCTGTGTCAGTGCGTTAAAAGTGACTTTTCTGCATTCTGGTCGAATGCCGGTAACGCCTTTTTGCCATAGCATTAATCAAGACCTTGTCAGAGATTGTAAGCATTGAAGCTTAACTATTCACATTATTTTCAAGGCTTGACATTGTGCAAATTCGAGAGGAGGATCTTCTCACCAGCACGTCAGCATGCCGTTTGGAGGAAAAGCACATCAAGTGTACTTAAGTGGCTGCAGACATCGTTTGGGTTCTGTTCATGGGAGATAATGTGGACACGCTGACAAGTGAAGCATATTCAGGCCTTGAGAATCCACCTCATCCTGCCAAGTGTGGCCCTGCCCCACCACAACACGTCTATTTTAAAAAAGTGTAAATAGTAAGCTGTGTTTTTAGGCACGCTGATATTGGGCCCCCAATTATAGGTTACACTATGGGCAGGGAGAAGTCACTCTTTATAGGCCCTCCCTCTGTTTGACTCCAGAGACATTTCTAATTCCATCTGCTGCAAGAGTCATCTCTGTATATGTATCCCGAGCAGGGTGGATACAGGAGAGTGAGCTTTTAGAGTATACAGTGCTCATCATGTATAAAGAAACGAGATGTATTTGCACAATGTGCTCACCTCTTTTGAAACCTCCCTAATCTATATATGGACTAGTGAACTGCCTGTGGTGCAGATTTCATGCCAGAAAAGAATAGTTAAGGTTCACTGGCAGCAGGGTGTGTGGACTAATCTCGAGCTCAGTGAAGAAAAAGCACTGGGTTTATCTTTCCTCCACAAAAAGTCCTTGAAATGAATGTCATCCCTCATCTTACGGTGATTCAGTAGTAAGCACTTAATATATGTGACTGCTGTCTTTTGTAATCTCCTCTCAGAGGCATCACGGTGAGCCAGCAGCCTTAACTGCACCAACACCTGTTTGATTCCTGCCAGGGACCTTTAACACGTCATTACCCTTTCTCCCTGTCCCCACATTCCCGTCACTCTTTGTCAGTATAATGCAATTAAGGGAAAATGCTGGAAAGTCTGGAAAACAAATTGCTTCTTAATATTTACCCTCAAAGAGTCTGTAAGTGATCGCTGTTGCTTTTTTCCATGACAGAAATGGACCATTTTTAAAAATCCAGCACTCACAGAACGCGATGTCTGTTCATTAAAAGGTTTTTTTTTTTATAGACAAGATGATTTTTCGATGTATATTTTTTTTAAATTGTATTGCGGCTGTAGCAGTGTAAGTGGTGTGACCGCATTAGATTCCATACAGATTGAACAGCTTTACATAAAATGAAAGCCCCGAGAATCTGTTTAACAGATTTTTGCAAATCAAGATGCTTCACATGTCTCGTGTGGCTCTAAAAGCCTTCTGCTGCTGCTGAAATCCCCAGTGCCACTGCTATGAAATGAATTTTGCTGTCTCTGAGGTAAATAGCCCTTTAGTTATCACCATTTTTGTGAATTTTGTCCAACCTTGAGGGGTTTTTTTCCTGTCATTCTTTGTTTTGTTTAGTTCTGGGGTTTTTTTAATCAAAATTTTATCTATATTCAAATATTCTGAAAATAATCACATGTTTGATTTGACAGCTGACAAACTAAATAAGAGATGTAGATTTTAATTTGCTTTGACTTTGAATTTCAGCTCCCTCTGATCGCAGGCATTTTTTATGGTTAAAAATACATAAATCAAGAGTGGCGGTATTCTCAAGAGTTTCACCAGATATATCACACTGTGATTTATGTGTTAATTGGACTCAGTCAGGTCTGACTGAGTTTAACTTCTGTGACAGCAGAAAAGTTGAAAGTGCTGTTTTTAGCTAATGCTGAAAACCTCTTTAAAAGTGCAACTAAATTTGGAGATCAGTGAGAAATCATTAATATACTGGCTTGGCTCATGTTCTGTCTACCCCCTCTTAACCGCGTCTTCTGCGATAATCTTTGCAGCAGGAAATTCCCTTGCTCTTATTTTGAAAGTTTAGTCATTGCTAACCAGAGCTTTTGTATTTTTTGCCTTTTTTCCCTACCAGCAGGCTGGCAGGTCACAGTTTGGCAGTTCTTGATATCATTCAGCTGCTGCTTGAGAGTTTGTTGTCCTGCAGTTTAAACAATTTTGGTCTGCTGCTGGTGACGGCTTTTAAAAAAAAAAAAAATAAAAAAAAGTACTGCAACTTAAAGCTCGGCAAGGCTGCAGAACAGAACAAAGACTTCCTTAGCTAACTGCTGTCCAAGACATTGGCAATGGGAATCTGAACAAGACAAGAGACTCGCTCAAGAGGCGGTTAATTATTGCTCTGTTTATTTGTCACAAAGTGGGCCAAGTTATTTTTGCCGAGGAGCACATTTAATATTTTAGAAGTTGATAATTCTTTTAAAAAAGCACTGGTGTGCCTCCCTTCATGTCAAGCAATGCTACGGCGCACTCCCAGCTTCCTGCACAAATTGAATAGCTTGCTAATAGTTTGCTTGAAAAAGCTTATAGTATTGAACCCCGTCATCACGGCATCAACATCTGCCGCTACTTTTAAACAAGGCCAGCCTTGGATCACGGCTTTGATATTCATCTGTATGCATCTACCTGCACACACAAAGAAGCTTAACGTCTGCTGTGCTGGTGGATAAATTAAGAACTTTAGAAAATTGTCTCTGAGCTTTTAATTTCCCTTCCCTTTGGAGCGGACATTAAGTTCCCGCTGACTTGTGGCCATTTTGTAGAAAAAGAAACAGCCACCCAGGGATCATTTATTTTCATTGAAAGGCCAGAGGAGAGGCACAGGCAGTCTGGCTGGCAGAGCATCAACTGAGTTCAGTCAGGTGAAACTGTCATATCTGCGCTCATCTAACACACACACACACACACACACACACATGCACACACGCATACATGCACACACCTACTCAAAGATAAGATGAAGTTGGGTGTACTTTCACCAAACAGTTCACCTCTAAGTAGGTATCTAATCTGGCAAGAATAAAAAAAAATGCATTGCAGTAACCAAATTGAACTCCCTTATTAGGTGGATAACATCAGACTCACAGTGCTACTGTCTGTCAGAACACAGTGCAGCGAGAGAGGAAAATCTTTTTATAATCCCAAAACTAAAACAGTGACTTGTAAAATGAAGAATAGTACAGTTGCCTTAAAGACTGGGGAGGACGACTAGAAAAATCAGAACAGCTGTCGAGCCCAGAGAGAACATTTGGGCAAAAAAGAAAGTGTTATTTCAGGTTTAAGGACTGGATTGGAAAGCAAATCCAGCAGAGCCAACAATAGATTCCCGAAAGAAAAATCAGATTCTTGACTCTTGTCAGAGGGTCAGTCAGAGCTACCTTACTCTTTGTCACTATATTTGCACCTTTGTTTCTTTTCTTTTTCCATAAGAGCTGCAAGTTTTCTCCATTCACTCCCAGAAAAAACTCCCTCCCAAGTACATTCTGTTCTACTTGGATAGTTTTCACATTGAAAGAATATAATTGGTTTAATGGAAGAGAGGCGATACCACATTGGGACAGTCAGGGGAATTAAAAATAGAAATAAACATTGCTGACCTATACAATTGTGGCAGGATCTACAATTAATCATGCGTCCCTTTCTGGATATTG